CTCTGTGGATCAGTAAATATTATCATATTCTCAGTTTCCAAAAACATGAAACACAGAAAAGCAGCAAATCCTCAAAAAACAGTAGCTCGAACTTGCATGATTATCATTGTGGTAGTGAAAGTTTGAAACATGATTCAAACACTGAGCACGTCAGGGAGACGCCTGAAAGTTAAAGTTCTGTAACAAGAGAACTGCTCGTAATCTGAGCCAAATACTGGGAGCAACCCTAAAACACAGAGGATTATGGGTAAAATGAGAGGGATTCAGACGTGCCGATTATGCTCTTTCTTCACCACACCTCTGCTGTTCACTCTCCCTCTGGCAGCACTGAATACTCCACAGAAATCTGAAGTGTGTGTGTGTACGCCTCATTCTAAGATACAGTCTGTTATTTGGTCACACACTCTGCCTCTGCATCCTCTCTCTTTTTCTACTGTACTTATTACTTCTCTCGTTCTGTCTTTCTATATCTCTCTCTATGTTCTGTCTCTAACCCTATTCCAACCAGGCAGAATATAACCAACCCCCCACCCTCTCCCCCTCTCCTCCTCTCCTTCCATCCCTCATTTTCTCCTTGATTATCAATTATTCTCTCTCTCTCTCTCTCTCTCTCTCTCTCTCTCTCTCTCTCTCTCTCTCTCTCTCTCTCTCTCCTCACACACACACATCCCGACCACACCCATGATAATGAGTCTTTGAAGATAGAACCTCACGCACACAGAGCACTATTATAATTATAATTCACTTAAAAAAAGAAGCTTGAGTCTTCTGTGAGGTGGCTTTCAATATTTGCGTGTGTGTGTTCGGATCGTGATTTGCACATGTGTATAGCCATATATAAAATGTGTGTCTGGTGTGTAAAATATGTTAAAATATACATTTGAAGTCTGGGCCTTGGGGTTTGTCTCGTTACCGTGACGACATGATGTTGGAGTTGACTGCTGACAGATCTCTCTCTCTGTGTCTGCACTTCACCCTGCTGATGGTGCGTTCAGGGTTCAGAGGAAATCTCATGCAGTTGACTCCTCGCCTTTTCCCCTTTTGTTGTGTGTTAGGCCAGCGGCCGCGTGGCGCCTCCGTCTCTTTGTCCTGTTTGTGTCTCCCATTTATCTCCTGGCTCACTCAACACGCACAGGAATAGAGGTATTTATTGACGTGTGTTCTGAGTGTCCTGTGTGTGTAGCAGCAGGCGCTCACCATGCACGCACACACACACTGAGCTCTGCTAGGCTCTACCATGGGCGGATCCCCCCTGCTGGGTCTGCAAACTCAGCTAAATGCTTCACAGCAGAGTGTGTGTGTGTGTGCCCCTGGCCAACTTGTGGCCCCACGCAAAGTTATGTGATGAGGTCCTCTGTGTCCCGAGCGTCGACCGGGGGTGAGGGGGTGCTAGTGAAGTACGCGTGTGAACTGCGAGCGCTGGAGCCTCGCAGCGGAAACTGCGGCACGCTTAATTGCGCCGCATTTGCGCATCAGATGAGGCTCCCTCCGCAAGATGAGGCCCCGCGTGATCTGCGTTTAGGCAGGGGCGGGCCTGTGTGTATGTACAAGTTAAATAGAAAAAGAGTTTATGAAAAGTTTTTTTTTTTTAAAGGAAATTAACCAGGGGAAATTCAGGTGTTCACTCAGTTGTGATTACACACCGTACAATACATGCACAGGAGCTGTACACTAGGTCTGAATATATACATAAATACAAACACATGCGTTTTTCTGTTATACGGAGAGAGCAAAGGCTGCCAGTTTGTCCGGCGCCAGGGAGAAGTTAGGGGTTCGGTGCCTTGCTCAAGGACACTTTGGAGTGCTCAGGAGGTGAACTGGCACGTCTCCAGCTACCAGTCCACACTATGTATTTTTCTTCAGTTCCCAAGCAAAGTCCCTACAGACTGAGCCACCTGTACGTTGATGCTGTATGATTTCAGACAGGAGGGGTGGGTGTGTGTGAGTCACAGTGAGACACTAGCTGCTGGACAAAGTGCAGCGTTTAGCAGAGCGGGGGGGGGAGCAGAGAGACAACATGAGGTGAACACTGGAACTGGATATGAAAATTGTTTGTGTGTCATGCAGCAGACAGTTTTGCTTTGTCAGATAACAGGTCTTTGCTGAAACTGGCAGCAGTGTCTGAAATCTGAGACATTTGCTGTCTTGCGTGACTGTGTGTCTGTCTACCTTTTGAGTGTGTGTGTGTCTGTCTACCTTTTGAGTGTGTGTGTCTGTCTACCTTTTGAGTGTGTGTGTGTCTGTCTACCTTTTGAGTGTGTGTGTGTCTGTCTACCTTTGAGTGTTTGTGTCTGTCTACCTTTGAGTGTGTGTGTCTGTCTACCTTTGAGTGTGTGTGTCTGTCTACCTTTTGAGTGTGTGTGTCTGTCTACCTTTGAGTGTGTGTGTGTGTGTGTGTGTGTGTGTCTGTCTACCTTTGAGTGTGTTAAAGATTGACAACAATCTATGTTACTGTCTGCTTAAAGAGGTAGTTTTATAAGGTTTAACAGGGATTTCTGATTGTGTATGTGTGTAAAGATAAGTGTGTGTGTATATAAAGATACATAATTTAAGCTACATGTAGGGCTCATCGTCTACCTTTAACAGTGTTTGTTTGTGATGGCTGTAAACACATACCACCTCTTCATGTGTGTGTGAGACAGTAGAGTGCGTGTGTGTGACAGTGTCTGTGTCATTCTTTTTACCCAGCAGACACAATACTCAGTTGTGTGTTGTTGTGTGTTGAGGGGTTGGTGTTATTCTCACTGCTGTACTTCCCTCTTCCTCATGTGACTCACCTTGTGACATCAGCGTTCGGCAGGTCTGATTGGTCAGAAGCAGACTCTCAGTCTCTCTCTGCTTACACTCTCACTGTCCAGCTTTCTCTCCTCTCTGTTGTTTCTTTGTGGATCTGTTGAGAAGCTGGAAGATGTTTGTCTGCTAAGGTAAGAGAGGATATCAGAGTTAGGTGTTTAAAGTGAAACAGCGTGAACCTTCACTTTTTTAATCCACCTCTTTCTGTTGAATCTGTATATTTAAAAAGAGAAAGAAGTTACTTCTGGTAACATAACGTAATGAGTCTCCTTTTTTATTGTTTTGTAGATCTGATGTTTTTGGTAATGTTTTCTTAAAAATATATATTTAATTTGACAGTGCAGCTTATTCCTCATAACTCCAACTTTTAAGTTCAGTGTGCATCATGTTTTTCTTTACTCACTAAGTACAGACAATAATACACTGCTGGAGAAATGTTCACATTTTCTAGTAAACAGAGCAGATCAAAACCTCAGCTCAACATTCGGTCCGAACATTGAAGCTGCACACTCTTCACTCATTATGGAAATGTTATAAAACTGAAAGGATGTGCCTCTCCAGACCTTTAGGCCACGTTTACACGTAGACGAAACGGGTTGTATCCGCTACAGTTCTCTATCGTATGGACGGTTCGTCCACACCAGGCCTTAACGGAACCGCGGAAATGGAGCCCTCAAATGATAACGGCTCCCAAGGTGGGTAGATCTGCGGACGATACGCTCGGGGGGGCCAAACGACTCCGTGTGTACGATCATTTCCTGATAACGATGACGCCATAGCCCCACCTCTCCCCACCTCTGCTGCTCACCCCGCGTCATTGCTGATGTGTTTCGCCAACAACAATGGTGGATCACAGGGTTGCTTTAGTGCTCCAGATGCTACTGAGCATGCTACAGATGTTAGTGCAAAAATCTACAGCTCCTCTACCACAACCACCAGCAACAAGTGGACATGGAGAACTACATGAACTACATGTTGCTAAACTACCTCAGGTCCATCAGGCCTGAACTCTGCCGGAGAGACACCTCTGGGTTTCATCTGTGATGTCAGGGGAAGATCAGGATATTGTACATATGGATTTTACATGAAGAGGACTGAGAAGGGTGTGTGTCATAGGCGGAGTTTGACATTTGCTCTTGGGGGGGCAAACCTTTTTTACTGACGTCAGTACACAGTCCCAACTATTGCGTGGGGTGCTACGGATACAGTAGCAATAAAGCCAGCGTTCACCGCACTGAGTATGACTTTTCCATGCCCGCCGTACACACAGTCATATGGAAGGGGCGGTCTCTCCCCCCAACAACAGTGCATTACATAACTGTAAAACGTATCATAACTGTGCACATCTTAGACTTATTTGATAACTATAAGAATATTATTAACCAGTGTCCTACCTTATTAAAATATTGATATACGAAATATTTGTATTGGAACAGTTTTCGACGTAGTAATGCTGTAACTTTTTTTAACCACTGGGGGGGGGAAATGCCCCCCTTGCCCCCTGCTAAATCTGCATGTGTGTGTGTGTGTGTGGGTAAAGTGCTGACCTCTGTACTTTGTGGGACTTTCAGCAGGTTAGCATTGTTTGTATTTGTATGTGAGATCAACACGTCCCTCTGCCGAGTGGTCAGGTCAGAAACATGTGTGTCACATCTCTAGAGCAGATATAAAGTTGCTCTTTTCTATCTCACAGCGTTTAGTTCTGAGTCAGTAGACACACACACACACACACACACACACACACACACACACACACACACAGCAGGGTTTAGTCACCATGATGTTTGTAGATCAAACACTCTTTCAACTTAAATTTTTTATTGATATGTAATATTAATAAATATAATATTAATGTATAGAACCTTCAACAGCAAAGCCACTTAATGTGCTTAACTAGACACAGAAGGTATGTGTAATTAATAGAAACACAAAGAGACATTAAATATAGAATTGAGAGTAAAATAAAGTATAAATAAAAGGATAATTTTTATAATAAAAACAGATTGAACCGTCTACATGACCGCTCGTAGTTCTGAAATAGAACAAACATACAACTATTCTATCATTGAAATCAGGGTTTTACAGATGGACACAAAGCATTATAAATAAAATAATTTGATGGAGTTTTCTGAGTGCTCGTCTGTGATTGGTTGATGATTTCCCCGCCTCTCACCCTTCCTCCCTGTGATTGGTGTGTTTCTGAGCAGGAGCGGCTGCAGCCTAGCTAAGGATGTCTGATAATGGGGAGGTCGAGGACAAGCCCCCTGCTCCGCCCATGAGGAACACCAGCACCATGATTGGCTCCTGCAACAAAGACCCCGCCCCCCTCAACCACGGCTCCAAGCCCCTCCCACCAAACCCGGAGGACAAGAAGAAGAAGGACCGCTCCATCCGCTTCATCCTGACGGGGGGGGGGCGATAAGAGTGAGTACTGAGCTCCCTTTGCCCTGAAGAATTCCTCCATCCTCTAACACACACAGGAGAGGGAACATGCGTGGGATGTTTATTAGGGGTGTAACGGTTCACAAACATTTCGGTTCGGTACGTACCTCGGTTTTTAGGTTCGGTTCGGTACGTTTTCGGTACAGCAGAAACAATTATCACAAAACATAACATGTTTTTTTTTCAATTATTATTAAACTGTGAATATTCACTCAAATAAATACAAAATATAATAAAATAAACATTAAGGTGCAGCATTTCGATGAACTGAAATAATCTGTATTTGAACTTTACTGTACTAGTACTCACAAAACATAAACTATTAGTTTTGGGTTTTTAATTATTATTAAACTGTGAATATTCACTCAAATAAATACAAAATATAATAAAATAAACATTAAGGTGCAGCATTTCGATGAACTGAAATAATCTGTATTTGAACTGTACTAGCACCTAAGCAGCCAGCTTGACATTAGGACTTGCTTGTCATTGTATTTTCATGTTGTTTAAAGAAAGATGAACTTGTCCACATTGCTTGCCGAAAGGGCAGATCTGCTGGCACTAACAATGTGTCCTGCTGTGGAGAACACCCTCTCTAGGGACAGAGGTAGCAGATACAGCCAGGTAGCGCTTTGCTAACATGGCAACATAAGGATATTTGGCGTTTGTAATAGCTTTGGCTCGGTCTGATCTTTCTGCGAGTGGTGGAGGCTTAAATGCTAGCGGGAGTTGGGTTTGCACTTCAGTCTTTTTTCTTTTGGTACCGGTGATATTCACGTTCGGGTGATGCCTTTTCAAGAGTGTGCAAGTTAGATGTATTGCCAGCCGCGTAACCAATTTTAGTTGAACAATACCGACAAACAGCTTTGGTTCGGTCCACCTGTCTTTGTCCGTCATCCTTGTACGTAACTGCGAAACCAAAATGTTCCCAAACCGGAGACTTCAATGATGCTGGAGGATTTTCGAGCTCAACTTTATCTGCGTTCGCTATTTCGACAGTTCCTCAAATTACTGATTACATTTGAACGCATCCCTCTGACTTGCTCTCATAGTATGCCTCTCATCCAATGAAATGACTTGGTCGCTCTATGACGCGTTGAACCCAATGTGACCAAATTACTCTGAATGCTGCGACGCAGCACCTGAGATTACTTCCAAGAAGTTGTTCACATTCTCAATTGTTTACGTTTAACGTTATATTCGTTCGGTACACACGTGTACCGAACCGAAGGGCCCGTACCGAATAATTTCGGTACGTGTACCGTTACACCCCTAATGTTTATACAAATACAGCATATTTTGCACTTTTAATGAACCTTTAGATGTTTCGACAAATTAAATAAAGCCTTATAGACCAGCTAGAGTCAGGTTTCTACATTTTGCGCGATGGGAACTAAAGCAGTGAAATATCCCTGTAAAAATTTAAAAGTTGAGATTGTTTTCAGGTTATACATTATCTGTTATTTGAAATGTAATTGTGCTGTACCTAACATCCAGACAGCAGGGATTTAAAGTAATTCAGCCAGCTTTTGATGTCAGAAGAATACAGTAACCTGAAACCTTCATCCATGTGACAGTATGTTTTTACATGTGGGAGAGAGCTCTGTTAATACCAAAGCCACATTTAAACTAGTGAAGTGGTGACTGGGGAAGTTATTGACTTGTGTTGACCCGGGTTGAACCGGTTGGTTTGATGTGGTTCTGACTCTGCTTGGCTTTGATATGAAGAAAGTCTTGAGAACGTTCCTTGTGACAGAACGTCCACTCTTTAAATAAATCACTGTTAGCGGGAATAACCTTATTTCTTTGAAATGTATCAAGCAGTCATTTGTTCCCGAATTAAACAAAATGCATCATTATCTTTATCAATATCACATTTCAAAATTGCACCAGTTATGGCCTTCTTTTTTAAAACATTGTCTCTCCATGGGCCATTCAAAATCACACACAATCAGTGGATGAGACATAGTGTAGAAATACTGCAGTTATGATACACTGAACAAAAATATAAATGCAACACTTTTGTTTTTGCTCCCATTTTTCATGAGATGAACTCAAAGATCTAAAACATTTTCTATATACACAAAATAACCATTTCTCTCAAATATTGTTCACAAATCTGAAAAAATCTGTGATAGTGAGCACTTCTCATTTGCCGAGATAATCCATCCCACCTCACAGGTGTGGCATATCAAGATGCTGATTAGACAGCATGATTATTGCACAGGTGTGCCTTACCCCCTAATCGCAGCAGGAGCGTCTGCGCTGCGGCTGCGCCGCGCTGCGACCTCCTCCTGCGTCCTAACCCACCAGGCGCATTTCAAAACGTTGCGGAAGCAGAGCGTCTTGTGTGCAGCCTCGCAGTTGTTGGATGAACATTCCACTTCTTGCCTGCGCCGCGCTGCGCCGCGTCAAAAATAGGATTCATCCTATATTTTAGAAATTCCTTGCGGCGAGGAGCTTCTGGGACGCTTCGAGCCGCGGCGCAGCGTGTCTGGTGGAATAGCACCCATTGACTAGAGTGGCCGCGATCGCTAAAAACGCCGCAGCGCAACACAGCGCAGACGCTCCTGGTGGGATTAAGGGGTTAGGCTGGCCACAATAAAAGGCCACTCTGAAATGTTCAGTTTTATCACACAGCACAATGCCACAGATGTCGTATCATAAACCTGTTAATGTACGCATTCAAACACTTGTTCTGTTACCAGCTGTATTCACCTTGCAGGTGCAGCTCTGTGGCTTTGATCCTGGATCAAGTGTTTAAGTCATGGATGTTTAAAGTTTAACTTCTTCATATGTCTAATATTAAAGTTCACTTTTCAATCAGGAAGTATGACGCTGCGCTGTCAGTATGCTTCTCCATGTTTGTGATTGGTCGAATGCTCCAAATACCACCCCTTTCATGTGAACGTACACCTAACTAGATAGGACACGGCTCGCTTGAGCGATCCACTTGATAACCAGCGTCGTAGTACAGTTTAGCGAGAGCGCGTTTGTTTTGGATTAGGCCAACCAACAAAAATCGAGTCAGGCTGAGTATGCTAAACTAGAGAGAGAATCGCTGGCAAGGGGGCTACAACTACAACAAGATGAACATATTTTTACTGTGATTTCATTGTAATACACATTTAAAAATGATGCCGAAGTAACAACATACTGATACCGGTTAGTAAAAACCATGAATTAATGCTTTGACAAGTCTGCAGACAGACGGCAGGCGAAAAACCCTTTTAAAATGCGTGTTTTCTAAATGGAGCTTGGCTAAGCTAACGTTATATATGCTCCGACCGTCCACACTCACAACAACGGCCTACAGACATAAATAAAGCAGCGACTGTATTCTCCATGACACAGGCAGTCTGTGGTTTGTACTTGTTTAACTTTTGTCCAGTTTCTGAACAGATATGAAGAGCTGTGAGCTCTGAGTGCTAACAGCTGATGTTGGTTTTGTGGTTCTCATTGAAGATGACATCACGGCTCCGCCTACACTGCGTTACTATAGTAACTACCCCAGCTACTAAACTGTAATGGAAACGCAGCATAAAGTGAGCCAGTCCTAACAAAACCGAGCGAGGCCTTACTAAACCGAGCGAGGCCCTGCAATGGAAATGTGCCATAAGCGAAAATGTGTGTTTCTCTGTTTCTGTAGTCCTCATGTTATTGTTTTTATTTATTTCAGTATTTCTGACCTTTTCAGAAACCTGGAACTCTTTGTTCCTCCTCCTTACATTAAGGACTGTTTTCACAGTTATTTTTATTGTTGGATTTGTGCAACTATCTTCTGTGCTCCTCTCTAAAGCCTCTGGAGGAAAAGCCATCATAATGATCTTCATAGTGGTTCATTTGCACCTTGTCACTTGTAAGCCCTTTATTCTAGAAGAAAAAGGATAATCCTGTATCCTGACATGAATTTAACAAGTGTGATCCGGCTTGTAACAAAACCCCACATGCTTCTTATGACTGTTGTGTTGTTCCTTTCAGCCTATAAGAAGAAGGAGCGTCCAGAGATTTCTCTGCCGTCTGATTTTGAACACACCATCCATGTGGGCTTTGATGCTGTCACCGGGGAGTTCACTGTAAGTGTGTGTGCCGGTGTGTGTTGGTTCTCCTGATGTGTAGTCACACTCAAAAGATTTCCTGAACAAACACACACAGTGTGCTTCTGCAGTGTGTGTTTGTGTGTCTGCTGTGTTTACATCACTTTTTAATTGCTCACCAACACAGCCATGCTCACTGTTGCGTGAGTCTTTTAGAATGTGTGTGTGTGTGTGTGTGTGTGTGTGTGTGTGTGTGTGTGTGTGTGTGTGTGTGTGTGTGTGTGTGTGTGTGTGTGTGTGGTGTGTGTGTGTGTGTGTGTGTGTGTGTGTGTGTGTGTGTGTGTGTGTGTGTGTGTGTGTGTGTGTGTGTGTGTGTGTGTGTGTCCACACACACACGATTGTCAAAATAAACCTTTTGTTAATAATCACATTAGACAAAGATGCCTTGTTTGTCTGCCTCACTTGCCTCACTTGATCCGCCTGACCAAGCTCTTTAGCTGGGAGTTTAACTGTGTGTGTGTGTGTGTGTGTGTGTTCACTTTTTCTCACTTGTACAAACATCTACTTGCTAGAGTACCAAACATCTCTGTTTAAACAATTCATGCATATCATAATGCTGATATATGATACATGAACATTAATTTACCCTTTCACTGTCTGCATTGTCTCAATATCTATGTGAAAAAAAGGTCTGTACTTTTCCTGCAGTGCACTTGCCATGGTGTTGGCTTAATGGAATACTAATAAATAAATAATCTGCCTTGTGAGCACAAACATAGCCTGATATTGATATTGTAAGAAGGGCATTTTTACTGAATAAATTATGTTCAGGTAGGAGCAGTATATAGAGACATAAGACAGATGGATGAAATGATGGCGTAACGAGAGAGAGAGAGATTTTGTGGGAGGGGGGGGGGGGAAACTTACTACCATAGCTTGTTGTTGTGTAGTCTGAAACTAATTGTGCATCATTAAGCAATGGATTTGTAACACAGCCCTTAAACAAGTAAAAAATACACAGTGCACATAGAATCAAAATCACGTGTGTGTGTAGGGCATGCCGGAGCAGTGGGCTCGGCTCCTGCAGACTTCCAACATCACCAAACTGGAGCAGAAGAAGAATCCTCAGGCTGTCCTTGATGTCCTAAAGTTCTACGACTCCAAAGAAACGGCCAACAGCCAGAAATACATGAGCTTCACAGGTACGCGCACGCACGCACACACACACGCACGCACACATTGTTTCGTCTAATAACTACTTGTGGTTTTCCCTGCAGATAAAAATGCAGATGCCTACTGCTCCTCCACCACAACGGTAAGCTCACCTCCGTCAACAGCTGTGTGTGTGTTTCCCTTCCGTATAACACTCATATTTATTTATTCATTTCTTTACATTTTTTGCCCAAAGTGGGAAAGGTTCCTCTGAAATCAGGATGAGTGACATTGATAAACTATATAATTGTGAAGGTCTCATAATAATGACTGAGTCTTATTTTTTACCCAACATTAGTCCTGATGAAAGCTACCAAAAATTCTTACATTTTCAGAATTGTAACTATTTATGTTTGTTTATATAGTGTTATCAATTTGCTTGACAATATCTCTTTTGTCAGCCACTGTAGATAATAAGCAACAATATTGCTCCTGTTGCACTGCAGCGATGCCGAGTGGAACCCAGGTGTATAGCTTGTTACTCCACACAGCAAGCCGGCTCCTGGCTGTGGTGTTCCATACATGTAGCTTTAAAGGGGACCTATCATGCAAAATGCACTTTTTGATGTATTTTATACAATAATATGTGTCCTCGGTGTGTCGGGGAACTCACGCAGAACCCTTTCTCTTTTCCTCTGTACCCAAATCTTAAAAAAACAGGAAATAAAAAAAGGAACTGACCTTGTGGTAAACCCGCAAGAGAAAAAGCATTTGAGCTCCATACTGTTTCAGAAATAATCCTTGATGTGGTTTGGAACAGGATGGTGTTTTTTTTCAGAATGTAACTTTATCTCCGGTAGAATTCTGATCAGGAATTAGCTCCGCCTCCTTTTTTTTTTTTTCAAGCTAAAGACCCAAAATCCGCGTTTCTCTTACAGGGCTGGGATAGAGGATATGAGGGATGTCTAAAATGCATGATCTGTTTATATTTTGAGCAAAACACATCATAGATGTGTTTTTATATATTTTTATATATCTGAGACCCATAGTATATGCCTAAAAATAGCAGCACTTTAACTTCTGAGATATCAGCTTAGGTTTGTGAATTATAATTTGTCATGTTGAAATTAGCAATCAGCCACCATATGCAAATACTTGTCACAAGCATGTACATGTGCAGTGTTGTAAATGTATAGATTGAATTGTGAGAATTAAATGAGGCAATCCATATTGAATTCCCAAACTATATAAAGAAACTACAAAACATGTGAACACATATTGCTTATCTTACCACAGTTGAACTGGAAACAAAAAAAGTATACAAGCAAAAATAATTGAATGATTAAAGCTCACTAAAACCAGTATACTAAGTTGTCTTAGATTATAATATTATATATATATATTTATTTATAAGGTTAAACTAATTCTATTGTCAATATTGAACAGTTGTCTCTAGTCTGGAGCCCCAGGGAGATTCACAGATTCACAGATTCACATGCTCATTACACATGGCAACATCTCTAGGCCTCTTATTTTACTGTTACTTTTTTTTTAGACCTTAAGGTGAGCAAGGGTCAACAAAGATAAGGATACATTTAAGGGGAGCTTCTGTTGAAGCGAATGGAGACTGGATTGGTCTGCCTGGAGGATAACTAGTGAAAGGAGGGAGAGCATGAGAAGATTAAAAAGAGAGAGGAGATGTGGTTTAGTTTTCCCGTTTGACAAGACAAGGGGGAGAGGGGGGGGGGTAACTGATGGGGTGAGAGAGACGCAGAGGTGAGAGGAGTATAAGGTTAAAAGAGAGCAGAGTGTGAATGAGTGAATGAGGGTGGAGGCGCTGATCTGTAATGCTCGGGCCATGCTGCTGCTGGGTCTGACCTCAGTTCACTGTGTGTTTCTTTGGCTCATTTATTGAATGCAGTGGGTCGGAAAGTGTTCTAAACCTTACCTAGTAAAGATCCTGCTTTCACAACCTCACAGAAGTACAAGTATTATCATTTCAATTAACTAAATGAACTTGAATTAAAGTATTCATGGTTCAGTGAATGTAGTTTTGTACAGCTATTAGTTGGATTCATAATGCTAACCACACAAACTAAACAAAAATCACTTTTGGGCGGAGCGCCCGAACAGCTCTGTATTACTGGATACAAACCATATCAGCTCCAAACCTACATGTTGAATCCTGTTAACAAAAATGAATTCAATGGAAAACATTTGTAATTGATATGAATACAGTTTTTTCCAGACTCCAATATGTAGGTGTACAGTATGGTCCAGCTTAATAGGACACATATATTCCACCTGGTGCACACTTTTACATTAGCAATGCGTAGGAGCACCTGGACGACACAGCTGAAAACTCCATGTTTTGTTCTGAAAGAGAGGAGCAAGCTCTGCTTTTGTAAAGAGTGGAGTAAAGAGAAGGAGGAGGAGATGACGATGATGCCACATCTCTCTCTCTCTCTCTCTCTCTCTCTCTCTCTCTCTCTCTCTCTCTCTCTCTCTGCATTGTGATTCAGCATCTTTTCCTCATCTCCTTGTCTCTGCAGCTTGGCCCCCAGCCAAGCATCAGACCATCAGAGGAGAGGAGCAGGGGCATGGAAGGGAGGAAGTGTGATCCAGACAGGATGAGAGCTTCCAGACATCAACAGTGATGACGAGAGGAGGGCAAGAGAAAGGGTGTCAATACAGAGAGAGAGAGAGAGGGGCAAGAAGGAGAGAAGCCTGAATTCAGAGGGGAAAAAGGCACTTCTCTGCATGAGGAGAGATGAAGTAGTAGAAGAAGAGTTTGTAACAGCAGAAAGCGATGATGGGTCTCATGTTGGCTCATGTGACCGTGATGTCACTGAGGCTCCGCCCTCTCTCTCCCTCTGACATCATGCAGGGCTCCAAGGCCGTGTCGGAGACGCCCGCCATAGCAACCGTATCCGAAGACGACGATGAAGATGAGGCTGAGCCCCCACCGGTAATCGCCCCTCGGCCAGAACACACCAAATCAGTAAGCACACACACACACACACACACACACACACACACACACACACACACACACACACACACACACACACACACACACACACACACACACACACACACACACACACACACACACACACACACACACACACACACACACACACACACACACACACACACACATCCTATATCTGTCAGGACCCTCATTAATGTAATGCATCCCATCATCCAGCAACATCCCATCCTAACCCCGTCTCCAGGGTAACCTCACACAGTCCTGTGAAGCAGGGAGGACCGGCCTCTAAAGGCTGAAATAAAATATAAAGGAAGTATAAAGTGAACTTAAATAATCACTTTAAAGTTGTTTTTAAATACATTTTTAAACAGCTTTAAAGTTTTACAGAAGCTTGTTTGTGTGTAAAATGTTGGGTTATAACATTTCCTAGGAGTTCAGTATTAGGGAAGGAGAAGGTTAGAGTAGAAAACTACAATTAAAGATGTAGGATAATACAGCTAGACGTAGAGCATTTCAATTAAAAATTAAAATAAACACTCTTTCAGTCCAGCTGAAGATCACTACTTTATCTGAACACAAAAAACATTTGTACTTCTTTGTATACATATGAAGTAATCTGGATGAGTTGATTCAATCAATGGAGGATATCAAGCTCTCACTCTCACACACACACACACACCACACACACACACACACACACACACACACACACACACACACACACACACACACACACACACACACACACACACACCACACACACACACACACACACAACACACACACACACACACACACACACACACACACACACACACACACACACACACACACACACACACACACACACCACACACACACACACACACACACACACACACACACACATACACACATACATACACACACACATACATACACACACTGACAAGGTGTGTGACTCCATTGATTTTTCTCTTTGACTGAAAGCACTCAGTGGACAGGAACACATCGCCTATCCTAAAGCAGACCTAACAATTAGGACATTTTTATTGCAGGAGCCGAACATTATAACCTCCATGGAGTGTAGATTTGTTCTGTCAAATCATAATAATAATAATACATTTATTTTGGGGGGCGCCTTTCATAACACCCAAGGACACCTTACAGGGTTACAGATTTACAATTTACATTTACAATTTTACCTTACAAATTAAAACAGTGGATTTAATGAAATGTCAGCCGGGTTAAAACAAGACAAACAACAGGAAATTGACTACAAAAAGACACAAAAGGACACAGGGTACAGATTATAAAGAAAATGCCAGTTTGAACAGGTGGGTTTTGAGTTGGGTTTTGAATGTTGTTATGGAATCAGACTGTCGGATGTGTAGTGGCAGGGTGTTCCAGAGTCTGGGAGCCGAGCAGCTGAAAGCTCGAGCACCCATGGTTTTGAGGCGAGAGCTTGGGACGGTGAGAAGTCCTACGGACAAAGAGCGGGGGGTGCGGGAGGGGGTGTACTCCTGAAGGAGGTCGGTGATGTAGATGGGGGCAAGGTTATGGAGAGCTTTATATGTGAGTAGAATGTTTTTGTAGTCAATACGGTAGCGTACAGGAAGCCAGTGTGGCTGAGTGAGAATGGGGGTGATGTGGTCGGATGAGTTGGTGCGGGTGATGATCCGGGCAGCAGAGTTCTGGATTATTTGCAGTCTATTGAGGAGTTTGGTGGGAAATTCCAGTCAGAAGTGCATTGCAGTAATCAATCCGGGATGTGACGAATGAGTGGACCAGGATTTCAGTGCTGGGACAGAGATGAGCGGAGTCTGGAGATGTTCCGAAGATGGAAGAAGGCAGTGCGGGTGATGTTTTTAATGTGTGGTGAGAATGAGAGGGAGCCGTCCAGAATGACACCGAGGCTTTTCACTTGGGCAACGAATGGTATGGGGAAGCCGTCGATGATGATGTTTGGTGCTGGGGTGTTTTGTGACTTGGTGAGGGTGGATTTGGAGCCGATGAGCAGGGCCTCAGTTTTGCTACCGTTAAGCTTCAGGAGGTTCCTGCTCATCCAGCTCCTGATGTCCTCAAGGTGAGGGAGGTGGGGGGCAGGGCAGTGGTGGGTTTGGAGGAAATGTAGACCTGTGTGTCGTCGGCGTAGCAGTGAAAATTAGTCATGTTATTAGACTGCATTAGTTTCAGCTTTAAGTGCCTAATAAAATGTCAACTGAGTTTAATATAGCAGTATTACATTTGGTTGGGCCTTTATATTACTGTCATCATTGTTGTATCTGCTGTTGAAGAAACTAAAGCTGAAATAAGCCGTGAAAGTTTTTAGTTTTAAGAAAAACTGAAAACGAAAACTACAACCAAAAGATATGGCTCGGTTAAAAGACTAAATTCTCTCAGGCAGCTTCCATGGCACCACCACTGTGTCCATGGTACACACACACACACACACACACACACACACACACACACACACACACACACACACACACACACACACACACACACACACACCTTAAACCCTTCACAGCTTAGTTACAATACTTGTCCTACATTGAAGCATGTTCTTACCATGTCTTTTACATTACATTTAGCTGACGCTTTTATCCAATGCGACTTACAATAAGTGCATTCGACCAAGAAGATACAAACTTGAAGAAAACAGAATCATATAAGTACATCAGGTTTCATAGAGCCAAACATTTCAAGTGCTACTCAACTGGCTTTAGGTAAGCCAGTCCTTTATTAGTATAAAAGTGCTTTGTTAATAGTTCTATCGCTCGAAGTGGAGTCGAAAGAGATGAGTTTTCAGTCTGCGCCGGAAGGTGTGTAAGCTATCTGCTGTCCTGATGTCAATGGGGAGCTCATTCCACCATCCTGGAGCCAGGATAGCAAACCCACGTGTTTCTGCTGATGGGAACTTGGGTCGCCTTCGCAGCGAGGGTGCAGCGAGCTGTTTGGCTGATGCAGAGTGGAGTGCACGTGCTGGGGTGTACGGTTTAACCATGTCCTGGATGTAGGAAGGGCCAGATCCATTCGCAGCATGGTAAGCAAGTACCATTGTCTTGAAGTGGATTCTAGCAGTTACCGGAAGCCAGTGAAGGGAGCGGAGGAGCGGCGTGGTGTGGGAACATTTAGGAAGGTTGAAGACCAGACGAGCCGCTGCATTCTGGATGAGCTGCAGAGGTCATGCAGGTAGACCAGCCAGGAGGGAGTTGCAGTAGTCTAGGCGTGAGATGACGAGAGCCTGGACCAGAACCTGCATGGCTTTCTGGGTCAGCTGGGGACGTATCTTCCTGATGTTGTAAAGCGTGTATCTGCAGCAGCGGGTTGTAGCAGCGATGTTTGCAGTGAAGGACAGGTTGTTATCTAGGGTCACACCCAGATTCCTTGCAGTCTGATTCGGGGAAACAACAGAGGTGCCGATGTTGATTGTCAGGTCAAGAGTGGGACAATCTTTTCCCGGAAGGAAGAGCAGTTCAGTCTTGTCAAGGTTGAGCTTGAGGTGGTGAGCAGACATCCACTGAGAGATGTCAGCTAGACAAGCAGAGATGCGTGCGACGACCTGGGTCTCTGAGCGGGGAAAGGACAGAATTAATTGGGTGTCGTCAGCGTAGCAGTGGTATGAAAAACCATGCGGGCTAATGACTGATCCGAGCGAGTTTGTGTACAGGGAGAAGAGGAGGGGACCAAGAACAGATCCCTGAGGGACCCCTGTAGTTAATTGACAAGGGTCGGACTCCGACCCTCTCCAAGTTACCCTGTAGGTACGGTCTTTGAGGTATGAGGTGAGGAGGGAAAGTGCAGAGCCTGAAACTCCAAGTTCTTGGAGAGTGCAAAGGAGGATCTGATGATTTACCGTGTCGAATGCAGCAGACAGGTCCAGAAGGATGATGACAGAGGAGAGGGATGCTGCTTTGGCAGTGTGCAGTTCCTCAGTGACAGCAAGGAGGGCAGTTTCTGTGGAGTGACCTGCCTTGAAACCAGACTGGTGCGGATCCAGAAGGTTGTTCTGATGGAGATAACAGGAGTGTTGTTTAAAGACAGCGCGTTCAAGTGTTTTAGACAGGAACGGGAGGAGAGAGACAGGCCTGTAGTTTATAACATCAGACGGGTTGAGAGTGGGTTTCTTTAGTCGCTTGGCAGAAGGGGCTTTGGGAGGGTCCAGGAGGGAGGAGAAGATAGAAAATAGTTTGTTTTTTTGGGATTGGAATAGGAAGATTGGATCTTATCTTGAAAGAAAGTGCTTTTTGCCTGAGAGATGGAAGCAGAGAAAGAGGAGAGGAGAGCCTGATAGGTTAGGAGGTCGTCGTGGATTTCCACCATTTCCGCTCTGCTGACCGAAGGACGGTTCTATTAGCACGCAGTGCGTCATTTAGCCAGGGAGCAGGAGGGGACTGACGAGCCTGCCGAGATGTGAGAAGACAGAGAGAGTCCAGAGAGGATGAGAGAGTAGAGAGGAGAGTTTCTGCAGCAGAGTTTGGAGGCAGGAGTTGGAACGAGTCTGAGGAAGGGAGGGCTGAGAGCACCGATGAGGCAAAGGTAGAGGGGTAGAGGGGGAGAGGGAACGAAGGTTACGGCGGACAGGTGCAGGATGAGAAGAGATTAGTTTGTTATGTTTGGAAAGGGGTAGAGAGAATGAAATGAAGAAGTGATCGGATGTGTGGAGCGGGTTTACAGAGAGGTTAGAAGTAGTACAGTTTCTTGAGAATATGAGATCAAGGACATTGCCAGCTTTATGAGTTGGTGGGGACGGAGACAGTGAGAAAGCAAAGGCGGTTAACAGAGATGTTAGTTCGTCTATCTTCCCCGTCTGGAGGTTGAAGTCTCCGAGAAATACAGCGGGAGGGCCAGTTTCAGGGATGAGTGAGAGGAGATTATCTAATTCCTCCAAGAAGTCCCCCAAGGCGCCTGGTGGACGGTAGAGAACAACAATGGTTAATTGTATAGGATGGGTTACTGTGACGGCATGGAATTCAAAGGTGGAAGGAGTGAAGTTAGGTAGCTTGAAGAGGGAAAAGCTCCATTTGGGAGAGAGCAGGAGACCAGTGCCACCTCCTCTGTCAGTGGGTTTGTGTGTATGGGAGAAGGAATATGCTGTGGAGAGAGCTGCTGGGGTGGATGTGTTGGATGGAGTAATCCACGTCTCAGTGAGAGCAAGGAAATCCAGAGACTGCAGGGAAGCGTAGCCAGAGATGAAGTCAGCCTTAGGAACAGCTGACTGGCAGTTCCACAGGCCGCCTGAAACTAGATGTTGGATCTCAGTGGAGCATGTGGGATAGACGAGAGCAGGGCGGTTATAGCGAGTAGGAGACGCACGGGGCCGGTGATAATTGCGAGAAGACACATAAACAGGAATGGAGAATATACACATGATTTTAGCAAGAAGGGCTAAAAAAGACCAGCAATTCTCGTGACTCCAACAGGACTCTATTGTCTTTGTCAGTATGAAGCTGAAGCTCCAGGAAAGTGTTACCTAAAATGGACACTAATCCTGATTGCTGAGTTGTCACAGCTGTGGGCCTACGCCCCTTTAATTAGTTAACTCTCTGCAGCTGATTGGCACCAGCTGAAACTGTCTCACTTCACACAATCAGCTGAGCCTTCAGGCCTATTGTAATGCACTTTTTACAGACAAATGTCATACTAAACCTTTGTTACAGAGGTTTTAAGATAACCCTACTAAAATTACCCTTAGTAAAGCACTTAGTATTTGTACAATTGTTTAATCAAAGTAAACCCTAATGAAAGTGAACCCTAACAAGCAAATGTTTCAGTTTTTAAGATTTCTGAAAAAACAAGTTTACCCAGATTTCTGCCTGAAAAACATGTATTTTAGCCGTTCTGAGATTTCAAAACACAATTTTAGTCAGAATAACTACAGAACAATTATACAGAGTAGAATGAATGAAACAGAGAGGTCTAGAAACAAAAATAGAACTTACACAGGTTTCTGAATCAGCAGTGAGTCCTATATAGTCGAGATTACACACTCAGTCTCTTATTGCTGTTTGTCAGATGAGACAATAAATGTGTGGGTTCCGTCTGTGTGCTTTGTGTTGTATTAACGGATGGTTTAGGAGATGAAAAACAATTCCAAAAGACACGTGGTCATCCTCACTGCTGGTGTTTTCATTGCTTAGATATATGAAGGGTTCCATCATTGTCCTGTACAAACTATAATGGTAGACGAATGAAACACTTCAGCCCAAATCCTGGTTGGATGTGTTCACTGCATCTTGAATGTCTATAAAAGAAAGCAGATTGGACACTTAAATAATATATAAAATATTTTCTCAACACTGATTTAATTTCACTTGTTTGAACTCCAGATATACACTCGCTCAGTGATCGAGCCGCTCCCTCCTCCTCCCACCAAAGATGCTGCGACCTCCCCCATCACCATGCCGACAGCCGCTGGCACCCCTGCCCCTGCTGCAGAGGGAGCTCCCAGCAGCCCACCCAGTGCATGCCCCGCCCCCGGGCCTTCTGTGCCCCGCCCCCAGGACAAGACCAGGAAGAAGAAGATGTCGGACGAGGAGATTCTAGAGAAACTACGTAAGGCTGCTCTCACACACACACACACACACACACACACACACACACACACACACACACACACACACACACACACACACACACACACACACACACACACACACACACACACACACACACACACACACACACACACACACACACACACACACACACCTCGTAGCTTTAAACACGAGAGTATCTCTAGTACGATATTCTTTTTATATTATCTCTATTAGTATAAAGATATTCAAACATAGTTATCATTATTTAAGAAATGTGTCCTATATATAGGATATATATATTACCAGCTGTGTGTGGTTCCCCTCCTCTCCACTGAAGGCAGTCTTAAAGCTGCAGAATCAGCATAACAATGTAGACAAAACATGAACATCTCTTTAGCTTTTCTTAACAGACCTTATTTCACGAATCTTCCCAAAAACACATTTAAAAACACATCTACTAGCTTAGACGAGTCTAACTCGTGTCTGGCTTTAGGGCTCTTCCCTCTGCCTTGGTTCCCTCATCAGGAGCCACAGGGGTTTTCATTTTTCTTTGGGTAACAACGTGTATGAGACCTACATGTTTGTTCAGCAAGAGTATCTTTAAAAATGAATGCCACTTGTGATTTTTGAAGCATAAATGCAAATGCCAGAAGTTCCCTGTGTAAAGGAGCTGCATGCCTACCTGTCCTACCAAATCTCAAATCTAAATCTACAAGTTGAGAAACCTGATTTAGAAAAGTTTGCAGGAGCGTGAGTCAACACATGTCTGTAAAGGCTGACTGGTAAAACATCCTCTGAAATCTCCTGTAGCCAGTTGTTAGCTAAATAAAAAGCCAGAAGCTTAAAGATGTACCAAGGGGATATATACTGTCTTCATTTCAGTTGTAAAACAACACATTACAATCTCTCAGCCTTTGTAAACCAGAGTTTCAGAGTTTTCATTTCTTTATAACTGATCGAATCAGGATCCAATGCTGACAGCTGGGTTCTGTTTTCTGCTGGAAAGTCTAAAACAACAATTGAAGAAGTGTAAAGTGATTCAAACAAATGAGTCGTGGTCATTAAGGAAGATGGTTTGAATCCCTCATATCTTATATCTCTGTATAAATAACCATCATCATCCACAATCAGCTTCCTGTAAAGAATTGTGAAGCAGAGTTCAGCGAGTCCCTGAGTGCTATATTTAGAGTTTACACTCTGTGTTCACACCAAGCGGCAAACTCTGGGGCAGATCCGGGAGGCCAATAAGGAAGTGCCACAAACTGCAGTTCATCTATTGGCCGATAGGCGATGACTGCAGAAGGGAGGAATTTCCATAGACCCCCATGTTAAAATGCCCAACTTTACAGCAGAAATAAACATGTTTCTACCCCTGGATGCAATAGAAATAATTCGGGGTATAGTTATATTCCACCTTAATGATTATTAATTGTTGAGTGAATTGTTTTATAACGCGACCCTTTTATTTATATTAGGTCTTAACGTTCTTGCATCAATTAGGGCGTGGTCACTTTGATGGACAGGTACGTGCCTCACTGTCAGCTAACAGCAACTTGTCCTCTCTGCTAGGCTACAATGTTAGCTAGTTGTAGTTACTGTACTTGACCCTTTAGCTGGTTGAATGTACTAACAGAACTTCCAAGAAGTCTAAAATGATAATATTATACATGTTAGCAGGTGTTTGTGTGCTTGTTAGCTTAGCTTGTTATATAGCTTATTAGCCAGCTAAGGACGTAACCCTTTATACATGTATGTATGCAGTGGTGTAGTGGAGATTTTTTTACTGGGGGGACGCTATTTTAATCAGGTCATCCCAAACAATGCCACACAAGTGCACATGCGCGCAGTGCACTCACAAAACGGGCAGACAGGTCCACAGAAACTACCGGTATGCTTAGTCCTACTTTAGTTACTGTACTGCAAAAAGCAGACGTCGCTGCGCTCAACACAGACTCAAAACCATGGACACACAGGCACATAAGTTACATAAACAATTTATAGGCCTAAATTGCATAAGCTACAGTATTGCAACTAAGCAGACAGCGCTGCTTCTCTCTATCTCCACTTTCAAAATCTATTTAAAACTCATAACAAACAAACAAAATTCCCAAAGTTGTCCTGAAAAATTCACTTATTAAATAAACGAAACCAAAAATATAGCCTACTTATGCAAACAACATTGAATCTGGACTTGAAATTATTCTGATTAGGCCTATATTGCAAATAAGCAGACAGCGCTGCTTCACACACACACACACACACACACACACACACACACACACACACACACACACACACACACACACACACACACACACACACACACACACACACACACACACACACACACACACACACACACCTTGCGTTTTGAAGACTGATACATCCGATATGGATGAACAAACTTTGCAGCCCAGTTTCCCAGCTTTCCCATCCATACCTCTGGGAAAGGTGAGCTTGAGCTAGCCAGGGGAACGTTGCTAGCGCAGCTAACGTTAACGTTAGTGCTAGCATTATCCATGTCTTTAGGCGGCTCTTCATGTAGTACTAGCAGCTTCACTTATAGCTTCGGTGCTGCTAGCCTCTTTCTTCTTGTGAATTATATTCTTTTAAGAAAAGAAGTCAAGTAAAAAATGTTTGCCTGCCATTATAGATCTTTTTCCTTAGCGTTCTTGAGGGAAAGAGCTGCCGCAAAACCGGCGGGCGGTGAGCTGGCCGTGGGTGTGTCACTGACACACCCCCAGCTCGCTGCGGGGTCACGAGCGTGATGTGACGAATCATCATTTTTTAAGGAAATCGTTTTTATTTTTTATTATAATTACTGTGAAATGTATTATGTTTTTGTCATTATTACAACAAATACACACTTGCAACTGATAAGACTGGCAATGATTTTATATTTATTAGACTATTAAAAAAAAGATCATGCTCCAAATAAGTGGGGGTACGGCGTACCCCCGCGTCCAACGCCCACTACACCACTGTATGTATGTGTGTATATATATATATATATATATATACATACATATATATATATATATATACATGTACAGTTTAGTTCAGGGGTCGGCAACCCCTGGCACGCGTGCCACCATTGGCACGCAGCACCATAACCAGTGGCACACTAGGAATAAGTGGAATAAGTGTGCAAAATATTTAAATTGTATTTTCGGATCCTGAACGAGACCGCCGCCAGAGCGCGTCTCCCCGTTACCTGCAGAAGGAAGCCATGCACGCAATGCAGCCCCGCTCTCTTTAACTCCAGGTGACCTTCTGCCGCTTTCCTCCGTGGTGCTGATCGTTTCACCACAGAGGAAAGCACTTCACTAATTGCAGTACCCATAAGGAGCTGTACACATGCCGCAGTTTTTGCGTGGCTGTGTCTTTAGTTGAAAGCCCAGTGGCGATCTGCTCATCTGTCATCGAAATAATATGCTACAAAGGGGCGGACTGGCCATCTGTGTGTTGATCTTTCCTGTCGGCTCCCAGACCGTAGTCGAGGAAACAGGGGGGATGACTCTCTGTCGTCTCCCAGGGCAGAAGCAACAAGCTTCAGGTTGAATAACCCACTTTAGCTTAATGACTGGAGAGAGGCGAGCTCTTCTTGGGAGGCCGTTGCATTTATTTAGTTGTTCTTCTGTTTCACAAAATACATCACAGACCTCTGTTTTTCTGCTGCCTCGTTTCACTTCCAGAAACATACACACGTTCCCTCACTGTCGCTCTACCATCCACACATGCACATTCCACTCCCCTCTCTCTCTAAAGGCCGCTACACACCAACCTGAGAACAAAGAACGCGTACTGAAGGCGTCCCAACTTTTACGTCCGCTACGTTGCCTGCGTCGGCTACGCCGCCCGCCTACGCCGCCCGCCTACGAACACACCGCAAAGACTTCAGTAGACGAGTGGCAATAATTGTCCTTACCAGCAGGCAGCGGTAGTGTGTATTCATCATTCAAAAGAAGCAACAGCCAATCAGAGTGATTTCTTTGGCCGACTTTCTTTGGCCGATTCAACATGTTGAATCAACATGTTGAATCGGCCGCGGGAGGTGTGAAAATGTGCCGTAAAGCAACGACGGTGCGGGACACACCAACCTGAGTAGGGCGCCGTGAATGCCCGACTGCCTCTGACGGACTCTGACTCCCAAAATCGGGTAAGTGTGTCAGGGCCTTTTTAAAGGGACAGCGATCTCATCTCACTCTGCATGACCCTAATATCATAACATGTGTGTTCTGGAGAATCACAGAACGGACGATCGTCCTTATTATTATGCCGTTTAAACCAATTATTTAAATTTGTTAGTTAAATTCGGCATCATGTAGGAAGTTGTGCTGACAGGTCCACACACTGCGAGGCTCCCCCCCCCCCCCCGTTGATAATTCACGCTCGTCGGCACGCTCATAACAATTATTTTTTGTAATGGCACTTCATATCAAAAAGATTTCCGACCCCTGGTTTAGTTTATGATTCAGCCTTGGGTAAGACTTTTATAGTCTATGGATATGACGCCCATAATGCTAAACGGGAGCAAATGTTAAAAGGAGACCCAATTATCCCAGTGGTGGCCGCCGGAGCTAGCCCCCTGCGGCTCCGGGCGGCGGAGTCCCGCGTTATAACTGGAGATCAAGGAATGCAGCGAAACGCGGACTTGGTTCACCAGCAGCCCGCTGTAGTATTAGCTAAATAAATGATGTTGAACAAGGCTTATTAAGCTGAACATCGCCACAATTGTTCTGCTATGTATCGGTACTTATTTTATTTTCTTAACGTGTGAATGACAAGCATTAAGAATAACAAAAAATAGCTAATTATCTTGCAGATTGTCTCGTTATTATTATGAATGTAATGTTTATATAGTGGAACTACACTGTTTTATCAAAACCAAAGTGCCACGCAGTAACTTGGTATGCATGTATTTCATGTTAGCTTAGCTTCTTAGCCTGAGCTAGCTCTGGAACTTCCAGCACGGTGGCAGCAGGTCCCGCCTCTTTTGCCTTATTTGGATCAGGCGGGAGTTAGACTCTGACGTCACGGCCCGTCCACAGGGCGGCGTGCGTTGAAGCTTCAATGCTTCTGCCCATTCACTTTGAATGGGGTGACATCACGCTTTGCCGAACTGCATTGTGGTTGCGTCGCTTCGCTTTGCTCGCGTTGCTCGCTTCAAAAGTAGAGCAATGTTCTACTTTTGAAGCTTCGACAGAAGCGTCAGCCAATCAAATCATATGCCAGTACAAGCTCTAGCCAATCCAGAAATCACTGGTTCTCCTCTCAAAGTCCTGCACCTCCCTCACAGGAAGGAGGAGCCGGTGTGAACATGTTTGATATTCATTCATAGTTTTCCTTTCTTGTTATAGCATTTGAAGCTTCACACCCAGTCGCATTAGTCTCTGAAAGTCATTCTCAATACGCTGACAAGCACCAACAGAATCAAGTTTGTGTGATAAATGATGAGTTATAATCAGGAAATGATGAATTTGGTACGTCACGTTTAATTTTTAACACCATTTAACCTAGATAATACATTGATAAATGTTTAACTTGTATTGCCATGTATTCCCCACAGTTAAATGTTGGTATAGTTGGACAGTCGTACATCAACCCTTCAGAATAACATTTTGAACAGCCCCCCCCCTACATTGAACTGTTGTTGTGTATTTGTAATAAAGCCTGTATATTTTCTGAACTTCGCCCCACGCCTGTCCAGATGTGCTCAGATCTCCCTCTGCTGGTAAGACCAGGATACTGCCTGTCTGTATCTCTGATTGACAGACCTGATATCCACTGTCCCCGCCCCCAATGTCCAATCCTCACATCTGATTGGTGGTCCTCTCTCTCCATTGTCCAGTCTCCTGTGGTTACAGAGAGACAGAGTGTTGTACTCTAATCACTGCCTGTGGACTCTGATTACTGAACTGACTCAGAGCTGATCCCCTCTTTCCTTCCTTTCCTTTATTTTTCGCCCTTTTTCTGATTATTTTCTATCCTTGTCATCATGTCTACTTCTAACTTCTTTCATCTCTTCATTCTACCTTTCTTCCTGACATCATTACATTACATGTCCCTTGTTAGATGCTTTTTACCCAACTCACATACACTCAGGCCTGTGGACAGTCTCAGGGACACATGCTGACTGCCACTGGGATTGAACCAGCGCTCTTCTGATCGGAAGATCAGCACACTGATCCACTGAGCCACAGCCATTACTTTCTGCCTTTCATCCCTCCTTGCTTTTCTTTTGTTTATTCAGCTATTTTTATTTCATTATCTAGCCCCCTCCTCTCCTCTGTTTTTTTTATTTTCTTTCCAGTCTGTTTCTTTTGTTACTTCTAATTCTTCCTTAATTTATTTCTGTCTGTGTCTTAGTGTCCGAGCTGTTTCAGTTTTACTACTTTTCTTCCTTCCATCACTCTTACTTCTTGTTTTTAAACTCTTTCTTGACTATCTGTACATTTCCTTTTAGTTTCTGACGGGTTAAATCTTTGTCTCCTTCCTTCTGTCCATCTTTCTCTCTCTGTGTAGATCCTCTTCTCTCTCTCTGCTCTCTCTCGCGGTCAGCATGCTGCATTGATCTGAGTGTGATGACCATAGAGCTCACTGTGGATGGATAGAAAGTCAGCTGTTCTATCCATTCAGATCCCTAGGTTCAGGGAACAGGAAGTTAGAGGGCCTGACTTCCTGTCTCCTCATACTTTACTGCTCGTTACTACCACTCAATAAGAGACTCTTCTTTTTTTGTCTTTCTCAGGGACCATCGTAAGTGTGGGAGACCCCAAGAAGAAGTATACACGGTTTGAGAAGATTGGACAGGGGTGAGTGATAAAACTGCTGAGTCAGAATGTTGAGGCTCCTGTGATCAGTTCACTCACTCAACTCTCATGTGATAATGAAGTGTGGCTTTACATTATGTAGAAAGAGCTTTCGCTCTGCAAAGAAAGATTTCAGAAGATTGACATAAACGAAAACAGTGTTTGTATTACTATTACTGAGAATCTTTAATATTCTAAACCCAACGTAACATCTGGTAAAGCAGCTTTTCAGTTGGTTTGGGTCAAGGTAATGCACGTTTTTCCAGTCTATCATAGGTTATCCAAATTCAATAGCACAGGGGTCCAAATCACACCACCACATACTTTTTTATTTTAATAAACCCTCAACATGTTTTATACTCAATAAAAAAAATCATTATGAGTTATTTTTAGTTTGGAACATTGTTTCTATACAGCACTACTTTAGAATTTTATGTAGGCTGTGTGTGTGTGCAGAATGTGCTCTGACCATTTACACAAACTTTATTTGGAAGGTATACATTTACAATATGAATCAGTTCAAATCACTGGAATTAATGTTTAGGTGAATTAATCTGACATAATGTGTATCTGTGCTCTGCTGTGTGTTCACAGGGCGTCTGGGACGGTGTACACAGCCATAGACATCGCTACAGGACAGGAGGTGTGTGCCCCCCCGTCCTCCCTCTGTGCTCTGAGGGGACTCTCACTGATCAGGACATGTTGGATAAACTTGAAGATAATGTTTAGTTACAAGACTAAAACGTACAGACATTCCCGTCCTGTAATATTATGGTGATCCTTCAAAGAATGAAAAAAGTGGAGAAAGGGGGCCATCCATAAAGCTATGCTGCTAAAGTGGAGATTAATCCCACAGTAGGATCTAGTTTTTGAAAGAAAATAGGATGTTGTAAGTAGTAAAATGTTAATGAAATAGAATGAAATAAGTCAGAATAAAAACAAGTACAATTTTGACACTCAGTCACTGCCACTCCACATACAAGCCTTCTAAATAATATCAGAATCAAAACTTACTGTTGTGTTTCTTGCCTCTCGTCTTGGGTTGGTTCTTAGTATATTTACTTAGGAGGACAGGTTCATTGAACCAATGATCATTACTGTTATCCTGATCGAGCTTAATAACATGTGACATCTAGCCTTCATATCTAAAATCACCTCTGTTGTCTGTAGAGTCAGGACAGACAACAGAGGTGTGCAGACAGTGCTAATGTAAGCTGAAGGACCAGAGTCTGTAGCAGGTTTTTCATAGAGAAATAAAGTCCAAAGGGAATCCCTCTTTTACAATTCTGAGGGGTTAGGGAAGAGGCTAGAAATCTGGGACCTATAAAGTGAGGCAGAGAGCAGGTAGTGAGAACATCGTGTCAGTAACAGGGTTTACCAGCTGGGACCTCCAGGGTCACTTCAGAGTCTGCTGGGTCAGGGTCTCTGAGGGACACACTGTGTGCTCACTTTCACTGCCTCAGATTTAGAGACGTCCCTCTGACTGTCTGTCTTCACTTCTTTTACATTTTCCCTTTTTGACGTATTTTATTCCCTCCCACCTTATTTTTCTCTTTCAATTTACTCGTACATCTTTCTTTCTTTTATTGTACCTCCACCCTCTCTGCTCTCAGTTTCGTTTGAAATATGTGTGACTTATTTGCATAGTTATGAGAAAGTCCAATAATCCTCTCATCTCTCAGGTGGCCATTAAACAGATGAACCTGCAGCAGCAGCCCAAGAAGGAACTGATCATCAATGAGATCCTGGTGATGAGGGAAAATAAGAATCCAAACATTGTCAACTACCTAGACAGGTTAGACGTGCACACACGCGCACACGCGTACACACACACACACGCGTGCACACACGCGCACACGCGTACACACACACACGCACGTGCGCACACACACACACACACACACACACACACACACACACACACACACACACACACACACACGCACACACAGATTGAACAGGCTGCAGCTTTAAAAGTTGGAGGAATATCTTCAGTTGGCAGGTTCACACTCATCTGACATCCTGCTGTAAATGTTGTTCTGACAGCAAATATATTGAATGCAGTATATATGTAAAGCAAGTTGAAAAACACAATCTGCTAGAAAAATTGGACACCAAATATTCCACGGAAACATGGGAGATGATCCAGAGGATTCAGGATCAGTGGGAACTATCCAGACTGAACCCTGTTGAAAGGCTTTATCATGTTCAGTGTTGCTGTTGCCTTGCCAACAGTCTAGACATTTATGGAGTGGGTGTAGTTACCGTAGTTACCCGTTTGTCCTGAGAGACATTGAGGAGCACCAGCGGGACTGGTAATAATGCTGTCATCCCCATGGAAACAACATTTAACTCTCTCTGATTTACTGTGCGACTGTACATATTTGTTCAGACGGTGCTGTCACTGGGGAGCTGAAGAGACACAAGTAGTCATTCTAACTAAATGTGAAAACTACAGACATATTAAGGAGGTGTTCTTACCAACATTTGAAAATAATGGTCCTGATTTCCAAAGTCTAACAAATAAAGGGGAACTGACCCGTAGCTCTGGGGTTGAAGAAAAATGCAGCGTTGGCTTGTTAAATATGTCCACAATGCACAGAACATTTTATTATATAATACTGGTAAAAATCCAGTAAAAATCTGAAAACAAAATACTCTTAAGATTTGAAGATTTTAGCTTGGAATTTGTGTATGTTTATTATAGGGTCTGATGACTGAAGAAATGTCTTGGTGTTATTGAAACACAAAACTTGTACATCATATAAGCACCTGCATGTTTGTGATGTTTCCCCACAGTTACCTGGTTGGAGACGAGCTGTGGGTTGTGATGGAGTACCTGGCCGGAGGGTCGCTGACTGACGTCGTCACGGAGACCTGCATGGATGAAGCCCAGATAGCTGCTGTGTGCAGAGAGGTAAGAGACACGGGACATGGGAGGATTTTTAAGGCTAATTTTGACCTCATCACTGTCATCATTCTGTCTCTGTGTGTCTGCCTAAACATGTGTCCACTCCTGACTGTTATTTTTCTGATTTAATATAAATATTTTTAACAGTAATATAAACTATGTCTGTCTCCCTGTCTGTCTCTCAGTGTCTCCAGGCATTGGAGTTCCTCCACTCGAACCAGGTCATCCATCGAGACATTAAGAGCGACAACATCCTGCTGGGCATGGATGGCTCCGTCAAACTCAGTGAGTCTGGGTCATATTTATTAAAAGACATGTATAACTTCTTAAAGGGCCCATGTCATGCTTTTCCGGTACCCGTCCCCTTGTGTGTTATGAAGCTTTTTCTGCATGTAAACGGTCTACAGAGTCACAAACTCTCAAAGTACACCCTGAAGCGAGTAAAACTCTAACACAGAAAATACCTGTCTATGCTGCCCCAGAATGCCTCGTTGGACATTTTCTTTTTGCATTTTTTTCTTCCTGAGTATAGTGATGTAACGGTCATAGTGACACACACACACTCACTCAGCCTTATCTTTTCTCAGCTGCGGCTCCGTGGATCTCCGCACACACACACACACACACACTCACAGCCAGGCTCAAAGGACAGAGCAGCGAGCCCCGTAACGTCCCGCCAACACGGCCCCCAGACCCCACGCAGCATTCTCATCTGTTTCTCATCACTGGTGTCATTTTCTGGTTGCTAACAAACGCCATTGAAACACATAAACACTGATGTTCCGCTGTAACGGTGGAAGACTCATCAGAACAGAGTGGGCTGGCTGACCAATCAGAGCACAGTGGGCTCACAGGGAGGGGGGGCGGCGGCAGGAGCTCCACTAAGCCGTGTAGGACAGAGAGTGAATACACAGACTATACAGAGGTGCTGTGTGAGAAACCAATGTGAGTTTGGAACATTGAACAATGTAAATCTATTCTAGTAGACCTCAACAATGGAACTATGATCAGTAGAAATGGTCATGGGACCTTTAATCTATTGTTGTACACCACTGTTGCTTTGAGGTTGGGTAAGATTGTTGTTGAAGTTGCTTGTCATGACCAGCAGAGGGCGCTCTGATTCTACTACTACAACTTAAGTTGAGTCTAACTACCATGGACAGAGTGTAATAAATAACATTTTAACTTGGATTTTCCTGAGAATTGTAAACTCAACATGAGTCTTTAAGATATAACATAATGATTATTACAAACTTGGTAAATGTTCAACTTTTTCAAAGAGGCCAAATATGTCTGTTCGTTGACACTTTTGGCCCACTTGCTGCACTGATGATTTGTTGGTTTGGTGTTCATTTAATGCAATAACTTACCACTTAGGTGTGTTTGGTTGTCAATGAGCTCAAACCAGTGCATGACCTTCAAGCAAAACCTTTGAAATATATCACAGAGTGTTACAGATTGATGGTGACCTTTAAACTTTGTATATGCATAAAAACTCACTCTGTTCTCTCTCCTCCTCCAGCTGACTTTGGGTTCTGCGCTCAGATCACTCCGGAGCAGAGTAAACGCAGCACCATGGTGGGGACTCCCTACTGGATGGCTCCAGAGGTGGTGACCCGCAAAGCCTACGGCCCCAAAGTGGACATCTGGTCTCTGGGCATCATGGCCATAGAGATGGTGGAGGGGGAGCCGCCGTACCTGAATGAAAACCCCCTGAGGGTGAGAGTGTGGTTACTGCAGGGGGGAGGAAGAGGAGCTGTCGGGGAAGATAGTCAGTAGAAGCTGTAAAACATAGAGGAATACACTTTTGAGAGTCAATATGTGTTTACAGTAAATATCATGTCAGACTAAACATAAGAATATATCTCTCTTTGGAAACTAAGTAGGGCTAAACTATATGTAGGGATTACATATATAACAAGGTGTTATAAAAAGGGAATTGTTTCGTTATCAGAGTGTTATATTTAGATCATTAGGATACATATTGTCATAGCAGTGTTTTTCTGTAAACTTTTTAACACAGACATATACTGTATGTTCTATACATAGTTGTAGTTGGGAGGCGTGTGGCGCAGTGGGTTGAGTGTTGGTGTTGGGATCACTGGTTCAAACCCCACTGCAGTCAGCATGTCGTTGTGTCCCTGAGACACTTCACCCCAAAGTGCTCCTGTGGGGATGGCCCACAGAATTGAGTATGGAAGTCGCTTTGGATAAAAGCGTGTAATGTAATAATAATTAATTCATCTCAAGGTCGCCGTACAAAATAACAAGATACACAATACATAACACCAGCATAAAAAAGACAATGCAGTATATACAAAATCAAATAAATAAAACAGAGGATGTGTGATGGATAATGATCAGGGTGGATATGCGAGTGTGAAGAGATATGTTTTGAGGCGTGATTTGAAAATGGAGAGAGAGTCAGTGTTGCGGATGTCAGGTGGGAGGGAGTTCCAGAGGCGGGGTGCAGAGCGGCTGAAGGCTCTAGACCCCATGGTGGTTAAACGGAAGGGGGGTGCAGTGAGGCTGAGGGAAGCAGAAGACCTGAGTGTGCGGATGGGTGTGTTGATGTGCAGGAGGGCGGAGAGGTACAGAGGAGTGAGGTTATGGATGGCCTTAAAGGCGAGGAGCAGAATCTTAAAAACGATACGGGATTTGACGGGGAGCCCGTGAAGCTGCTGAAGAACAGGAGAGATGTGGTTAATGGAGGGGGTTCTGGTGATGATGCGGGCGGCAGAGTTCTGGACCAGTTGAAGTCTGTGGATGGATTTGAGAGGGAGACCAAAGAGAAGGGAGTTGCAGTAGTCGATGCGGGAAGTGACCAGGGTGTGAACAAGAACGGCGGTGGTCTTAGGGTTAAGGGACGGGCGGAGGCGGTTGATGTTGTGTAGATGGAAATAGACAGACCGAGTGATATTACTGATGTGAGATTTGAAAGAAAGTGTGCCCAGACTCTTAACCTGAGTGGAGGTTAGTTGTGAATCATGCATACCTGTATGCGATGCACACTAACATGTTGCTAACATGTGTGTGTTGCCTAGGCGCTGTATCTCATAGCAACCAACGGGACTCCGGAGCTGCAGAACCCGGAGAAGCTGTCGACGACCTTTAGAGACTTTCTGACCCGATGTCTGGAGATGGACGTGGAGAAGAGAGGCTCGGCTAAAGAGCTGCTGCAGTGTGTGTGTGTGTGTGTGTGTGTGTGTGTGTGTGTGTGTGTGTGTGTGTGTGTGTGTGTGTGTGTGGTGTGTGTGTGTGTGTGGTGTGTGTGTGTGTGTGTGTGTGTGTGTGTGTGTGTGTAGTGTGTGTGTGGTGTGTGTGTGTGTGTGTGTGTGTGTGTGTGTGTGTGTGTGTGTGTGTGTGTGTGTGAATGTGTGTGTGTGTGTGTGTGTGGTGTGGTGGGTGTGTGTGTGTGTGGTGTGTGTGTGTGTGTGTGTGGTGTGTGTGTGGTGTGTGGTGTGTGTGGTGGTGTTGTGTGTGTGTGTGTGTGTGTGTGTGTGTGTGTGTGTTGTGTGTGTGTGTGTTGTGTGTGTGGTGTTGTGTAGTGTGGTGTGTGTGGTGGTGGGGGTGTGTGTGTGTGTGTGTGTAGTTGTGTGTGTGTGTGGTGTGTGTGTGTGTGTGTGTGTGTGTGTGTGTGTGCAGACAGCTGTGTAGTGGTGGGGGGTGTAACTGTTCCATGACTCAGCTGAGAGGGGAAAATGGGACTTTATCATATTTGAGAAGGAGCATTCAATGTTAGACTTGATGTGCTCACAGAGTCCTTGTTGTCTGAAGTGAACCTTTAAAGGTTGATTCAAAGTCAATTTCTCACCTATTTTCAGAAACATATTCTAGTGTTCTGTTTAGTTCAGAAATGTGAAAGTTTGTTGAAAGCAGCTCTGCCAAATCTAGTCAAGCAGACTTTAAGTGTGATAATGCCCAAATAAATGGGTCTATAAGAGTGGAGCAAATTACTGTTAGCTGTTAGCAGCCTGTGGGCTAAATAATAGAGCTAATGACTTTAACAAAGCCAGTCTCTATTGAGTTACATAATGAATTGTTCAATATCTGTTTAGGTATTAAAACAGCATCACAATGTGTTTAGGTGTAATCCTTAGCACACTTTAATCAAAGCTAATACTTAAAAGCAAATAGCAACATTTGTATGTATTGAATTGGGAAACACAAATCAAATGTAACTGAGGTTACCTACTGTAACCCAGCTTCTATGAGTAAATGGCGCAGCCCTCTAAGGCTATCGCTATTGGGTTATCCCTCTGCGCCCCCGCGCAGCACTGAAACACTTGTAGTCCACGCCCACCCGCTAGGTGGGCCCCACCGGCTTCCTTCCGGTATAAATAGGAAGGGGGCCCGGCACTCTGCTCCCATACAAAATAACTTTTCTTCAGCTATTCGTAGAGCCAGTGGGGCCCTGCACTTAGAGGGCTGCGCCATTTACTCATAGAAGCTGGATTGCAGTAGGTAACCTCAGTTCTATTTCGTATATGGCTTCGCCCTCTAAGGCTATCGCTATTGGGTTAAGGGCGAAGCATGATGTAGTCTGCGCCCCACTGGGTCCGCCCGGCACTAGAAGCACAGACACACCTGCTCAATAACACCCCCTGCCTGTTGTGCCATGCGTAATGGCGCATCACCGTCCCTGGAACATAGCAAAACATGCCTGTCTTCCCGACGGGGTGAAGGCCAGGCCGCCGTGCGCGCCACATAGCAGGACAGCGCGCGCACAGGACAGAGGAGATGAGACGTGGCTTCTTCCTCCGACCTGTGAGGAGGGGGGAATAAGCCAGCCAGGGTGATCACTCTTGACCTAAAAGAGTTGTGATGACCTTAGGCAAGAAGACGGTGTTTCTTGTATCCCATGGAACTGCTGGGGGGAGAGGCTTCTCTGTGATGTGCCGTAATGGTCATCATGGTGACGTGCCACGCCATCGCCGCCGCTGCCTGTGAGGCAAAAGGGCTGCGAGGGAGTTTCCACACGCTGCATTTCACTCCGTCTCTCATCATGAGGCGCGTACACGCCCAGAGGATGAGAGGTGTGTGCATGCTGTCCACACGAGGCGTTATAACGGTGCTCGTGGATTTATTATGACCGTGTGTAGGAGGCATATCTGGGACAGAGGAATGCCGCGAGCTCTGCAGTTTATAAACCAATAGGTTAAAACAGCAGGCTTCTGCAGCGAATGAAGCACCTCTGGAGTGTCCCCCCTGTTGGAAGAGACCCAGGGGGATCATCACGTGACCAGCTGACGCCAACGCCGAGCAGCTGCGTCCGGAGGAGAGCTGTCAGTTTCTCCACTCGCTGCCGCGATAGCCGCGCTCTGCTGGCTGAGTTTAATTCCACTCCAGATAACCGTTTGTCTGAGAGGGAAGAGGACAGCTCTTCTTCCAATTTATTATGAAACCCAGGCTTTGACAGATGCGATACAAGATGTACCGTCTGTAAAGCGACTTCCTCCCTGGAGCGAGCCAGCAAATAGCAGGTCGTCCAGAGGAAAACACACTCTCATCCCTCCTCTGTGTAGCGGCTCCAGCCTTCTCTACACAAAAATGGGAGGGAGCCAGGAAATATCTGAACGGCAGACGATGGTCTGGTCTGATATTCCCTGAAATGAGAAACCGCAGGAATTTCCTGTGTTTTGGGGATGATGGGTACGTGGAAGTATGCATCCTTCAGGTGGAAGTGAACCAGTCGTCCTGGTGAACACATTCCAGCACCTGTTTGATCGTCAGCATGTGGAATACTGACAGATCGAGGATGTCTCATTGCCCCAGTCTTTTTCGGGATTAGAAAATTAACGGGTGAAAACCCCTGATTTTCCTCCCTTTGAGGAACCCTGGAAATATCCTCTTTCAACAGGAGTTCCAGCGGCTCGGATTGGAGCGCAAGACATAGCTTCTGGGAGGACAGGAGTGTTTCCTGTATCCCATTGAACTGTGGGGGGTGGGGGGGGGAGGCGAACTGCAGGACGTATCCTCTGCTGATGAGCCTGCTCATCCATCTGTCCATCAGACACACGCGCTGCCACTCCGAGAAACACTCTGAGAGCGGGTGCCCATGCTCGAGATGTGTTGTGGTCGTCATGACGACGAGCCACGCCAGAGCCCTCACCGCCGCTGCCCGTGAGGCAACCCAAGGTGGTCCTAGAGCGAAAGGGCTGTGAGGAGGCCTCCACACGCTGCATTTCACTCCGACTCTCATCATGAGACGCGTACACGCTCAGAGGATGAGTGGAGGTGTGTACAGTGACATTCACATGAGGCGTTACCACGGCGCTCATGGGCTTATTGTGACCGTGTGTAGGTGGCGTATCTCGGACCAGAGGAATGCCGCGAGGTCTGTGGTTTAATAACCGAAAAGTCATAACCACCAGGCCTCTGCAGCGAACCCTGCTGCCTACTAATCAACAGATTGGAGGCAGCTGGCCCTGATTTTCTTCCTCTTGGGGAACCCTGGAATAGCCTCTTTCAACAGGAGTTCCCGTAGCTCTGCTTGGAGCGCAAGCCACTGTTCTCGGGATGACAGGCGTGTCTCCTGTATCCCGTTGAACTGTGGGGGGGGGGAGGCGAACTGCAGGGTGTACCCTCTGCTGATCAGCCTGCTCATCCATCTGTCCATCAGACACACGCGCTGCCACTCCGAGAAACACTCTGAGAGCGGGTGCCCATGCTCGAGATGTGTTTGTGGTCGTCATGACGACGAGCCACGCCAGAGCCCTCGCCGCCGCTGCCCGTGAGGCAACCCAAGGTGGGCCTAGCGCGAAAGGGCTGCGCGGGGGCCTCCACACGCTGCGTCTCACTCCGACTCTCATCATGAGGCGCGTACACGCTCAGGGGATGGATAGAGGTGGTGTGCAGTGCTGCCCACATGAGGGCGTTCTATAACGGCGGCTCATGGGGTTTATTAAGGCCGTGTGTACGAGGCGTATCTCGGACAGAGGAATGCTGCGAGCTCTGCAGGTTATTAACAGGGGTTAAAACCGGCAGGCTTCTGGCAGCGAGGGCCCTGCTGTCTACTTAATCAACAGATTAGTGGCAGCCGGCTTTACCTAGCGAGCTCTGCAGTTTTATTAACCGATAGGTTAAAAACCAGCAGAATTCTGCAGTGAGCCCTGACGCCGTGGCGCTGCGGGGCGCTGCCGCTGGGAGCACTCAGCCTGAATACTGCTCTTTCCCCCGTTCTGGCTTCTCTGTGATGTGCGTAATGGTCGTCCTGGTGACGAGCCACGCCATTGCCCTCGCCACAACTGCCCGTGAGGCGAAAGGGCTGCGAGGACGCCTCCACACGCTGCGGTTCACTCCGGCTGTCATCATGAGGCGTGTACACGCTTCAGGGGATGAGTGGAGGTGTGTGCAGTGCTGTCCACATGAGGCTGTTAAACTGCATCTCCTCATGGGTTATGACCGTGTGTAGGAGGCGTATCTCGGACAGAGGAATGCTGCGAGCTCTGCAGGTTATTAACAGGGGTCAAAACCAGCAGGCTTCTGCAGCGAGCCCTGCTGTCTACTTAATCAACAGATTAGTGGCAGCCGGCTTAATTACCGGCTCTGCTTCCATCGGAGGCTTCTCGCGGAGCAGACCAGGAGCGGGGGAGCCTCACTCCCCTTTGACTCGCCGCCAGGAGACCCTGTATCTGGGGTGGCGGGGAGGAGTGGAGACGTGGGGACGGAAGCCCCTGCAGCCGCCGATGGGCTGAGGTCTGACGCCGAGGCGGTTTGCTGTGCGGCCATCTCTCCGCTTGCGGCCTCCTGTGGCCAGCGTAGACGCCGCAGCTGCTGCTGCGGCGTTGATGCCGCTGTGGCAGCTCAGCCGGCTGAGCCAGCTGTACATGCTGGCGATGCCGTCCGCCTGTTCCCCCGCAGCCGTCTTCATGGACTCACTATGGCGTGGAAACTGGGGTTCCGAGCAGCCCGTCCGGCTGATTGGAGCGTCCAGTAGCACTTTTATGGCCGTCTCCGTAACAGACACCTATACTTCAGCCCAAGGTGGCGCTGGATCTGTGTCACCCACGCGAGGAACTCCTCACCTGGGGAGACAGCGACGGACGCGCACAGAATGAGCGCCGTGCTGGCCGCTTTGCTGGCCGCCTCTGCCTCGGTGGTGGACCGCTCTTCCAGTGTCCCCACCGAGTTGGAGAGCCGCGCGATGTGGTGACGGAGAGGGGGAAAGCATGTTCGGCCACCAAGCTGGCACCCTGCTCCGACTCTGTCTCCCCCGTCCGGGGGAGAGGAGGGAGGGGAGAACCGAACTGTGGAGGGAGACGGGGCAGGAGTTGCCTTTTTCCTCGGACTCCTGCCCGGCACTCGGCCCCAGGGACACGAGGCCCCAGGGACACGAGGCCCCAGGGACACGAGGCCCTGTCCGCGGGCTCGTAAGCCTGGACGGGCCAAATCCTCCTCCTCGGCCACAGCAGCAAGAGCGTCCGCTCCGCTTCTGTCGCCGAGGGGAGGGGAGGGGGAGCGCAGTGTTGTGCATGCTACCTGCTGGTTTAGAGCCGCGTATGTGCTCTGACCCCAGGTAGGCTGTGCTTCAGTAACTGTGCTGGTTTGCTGAAGAAAAGAGGGAGCAGATTGCCGGGCCTCCTTCCATTTATACCGGAAGGAAGCCCAGGGTGGGCCCACCTAGCGGGTGGGCGTGGACTAAAAGTGTTTCAGTGCTGCGCGGGGGGCGCAGGGGGATAACCCAATAGCGATAGCCTTAGAGGGCGAAGCCATATACGAAATAGAACTGGTATTGGTATGGACTAGTATCTTTGCTATTTGGAAAAAT